AAAGAATTAAAGACCTGGCTCTGCCGGCTTGCGTGGGGGGGTAACAATCTTACTCAATCCTGGGGGTGGCTAGTGTCTTGATGACACTCCCTGAGTGACTGCCAATTATTCTTGGATCTATTTATTCTCTATTTATTAATAGTAGATTTAATTTTGTAATTTTAATTGATTAACTGTTTTGTAAACTGCTCAGAGTCATTTCAATGAGATGGGCGGTGACAAATTTGATATATAAAGAAATAAAATAAATCTAGAAGCAGGTTGATAGTCAGGGAAGTGGATATAAAGCCGATAGAATGCAGTGTTTTCATTATTTATTATTTATTTGAGTCTGCCTTTCTATCCAGAGAAGCTTATTCATATATTTCTATCCATCAAAGAACGTGGAGTTTCTCTTTCTGTCCCTGCAGCCACATTGTGAAGTATGCTCAGTTATGTCACATCCCCTCTCTGTTGTGGGGATCCTTTCCTTCCCTTCCCTTCAGATTAAAGGAAGATCATCCCATCAGCCCAGGGATATCTGTAAAGCAGTGTTGTCTGCTGGCTAGGGAATTCTGGGAGTTGAAGTCCACTCATCTTAAAGTGGCCAAGTTTGGACAACACTGCTCTAAAGGATCTGTTGGTTTTGTTGTCATTATCAAGCCCTTTCCTTATTTGGAAGTTCTTTTTTCTCCTCTACTTCCATATATCTCTAACATGATAAGGCAGAACTTGGGAAAGATATAAAATTGCACAGTCACTTGGTTAATTGGATCCCTCATTTAAACATTAACTTTACTGAATAATTTTAAAAGGGTTGCAAACAGGTTCCCATAACATTACAACCTGTCTATAGCAGGATTCCCCAACCTTGGCAACTTTAAGATGGGTGGACTTCAACTCCCAGAATTCCCCAGCCAGCCCTGAAATGACTCTGGGCAGTTTACAAAACAGTTACTCAATTAAAATGACAAAATTAAATCTACTATTAATAAATAGAGAATTCTGGGAGTTGAAGTCCACCCGTCTTAAAGTTGCCAACATTGAGGAACCGTGATCTATAGGAAGTTCATCCCTGCCTCCTCTGGCATTAAATATCTGCTCATAAACTTGTCACAGAGAGATGGAAGTTTTCTTAGGCTCAGAGTCTGACCTTCCCCCTAACCCCTTCTCTCAAATCCCTCTCCTCGTAGTTCTCCCTTTTCCCAAAAATATAAACTGGGAGGAGGTACCCTGCAATAATGTGTTTTGATTGGCAGTTCTGTTACCCAATCATTGGAGACTATAAGAAAATAGCTGTTTGAAGGTGACTCAGAAAGCTTCATGGCCAAATGGTGATTGAATCCAGATCTCTCTGAGATTTGAGCAATGTCTGTATTAGGATTACATAACCCTTTTTCAGGCCAAGAGCCACACTGATCTTTGAATAATGTGCTGGGGGGCTCACAGGACAACATATAAATTTGATTTAGTGCCAACTCAGTTGAATACAGTGAATAGGATTGCTCCTCATGTGTTTTACAACTGTCAGTTTGGGTCATGTTAAGAATTACGATTTGGTGACAACTTTTGGAAGAGCTTTTGGGGAAGGGCAGTCCTATAACTTCAAGATGTGCATCTCTGTTTAATGTAACCCAAAACGACATCATTTGTGCACAAGAAGGAAGTGGCAGCTGGCTTGGAGGAACCTGGAGGAACCTTTCAAGTGCAAAATATACTTGAATAAGAAAAAATGTTGAAAAGCAAGCTGGGGGAGCAGAGGAACCAAATAACCCAGTTACAAGTGACAAAACTCTTGTGGGGGAATAGCCATGGCATATGAAGTACCATGGAAAAGAGTATGGCTGGCTGATGGGCATCATGAATTGAAGGTTCTCATCCTGGCCTGATTAGGGTGACCGCATTTTAATTGTTACCTAGTTCTGGATGACTTCCACACAGCTAGGGGCCATTGCAACCAGGCCCAGCAAAGACATTTTGGTGTTTGGGCAAAAGGTTAAGATGATGCCTCTGGCTAGCCCAGTTCCATGTACTGAAGATGCCTGAATAAATAAGTTGAATCATATTTCAGTGTCTGCTGCTTGAGGCAGTCACCTCATTCAGTCTAACGGTAGGGCTGGCCCTGATTGCAGCCTTCTTGCTATTATCTAGAGCAGTGTTTCTCAACCTCAGCAATTTTAAGTTGTGTGAGTAGCTGGCTGGGGAATTCTGGGAGTTGAAGTACACACATCTTAAAGTTGCCGAAGTTGAGAAACCCTGGCCTAGAATTTTCTTCTACATAAAAACTTCCTCTGTTTCCTTTGCCTTGGTGGAAGTCATTTTAATAAATAAATAAATCCCACATTAGTAAGTCTGCAGGCTTCCCCTGTTCTCTCAGCCCCTCCTTTCTTCTTACCTTCTCCTTACCATAAAGATTATGTACTTTGTAGCCTGCATGGTTGTTTATGACTTGTTTAACTGCTCTCCCCTGCATTCACAAATGCTTTGAGGCCAAGGAAACCACCAACATGAGAGGGACAACTCACAGCAGGGAATTCCAGATGATCTTCTGGAAACATCCCTTTTTCAGAGACAGAAAGAAAAAGCAGGCAGATTTTGCCCACTAGTCTTACATGATGGCAACGATTAATTCTTCTTGCAAACCTACTTACAGGAAGGTTTGCTATAGGTATGCTACAGGAAAATAAGATTTCTAGACAATGGTATTGTCATTGCTACAATCTCTGCAGTTGACAATTCTAATATGCCAGGTTGCCCTTGTTATAACGGAGCTGGGAAGGGAGGAAGACATAAAATCTGGGACATCCTTCAACACAGGGGTGAAGGAGGCCTCTAAGAGAGTGTCAAAGTAAATTGACCACTTAGTGCAGTGATAATGAAGCTTTCAAGTTTTTACTATTGCTTGTGACCATTTTCTGTACAGAAAGTCAACAAAAAAATCCAACCGTTGTTAGATGCTCTGAATACTGAGAATTGTAGCTTCAGCACATCTGGAATGTACCACATTGGGGAAACTGAAGACTAAAATAGCATTGATAAGTTAACTGAACCACATCCATCCTTCATTTCTCAGCCTACTAGAATTTTGGACTTCAGTTCCCATAATCCTTGCCCACTGATAGATAGGTTGGTAAAAAAACCCGGGCCAGAACACCTGGAACACCCCTCACTCAGGCACGTAACACAGAGGGATAGGCTTTGCTTTGTTTCAAAACCAGCTAACAAACAAGTTCTGAAGATTGAAATCCTAATTCTTACTCTAAAAATAGTGCCAGAGCTATGCGAGCCCCCCCAGCTAAATCACCTCACGTATATCTATCTCCAAATGATAACAAGTGGGACTGAACTAAATATCTCTTAGAATGTATTATTCGCATCTTATCCCTATCACCTTGAAGGGCGGTGTTTCTAAAGGGCTGCAGAGGCCGGGAAGGGCAGATCCCTCTGTCTGCTGCTTCACAGCGAACTTCAGGAGCCACTTCTTAGCATCTTCCATCACTTCCTTTTAATGAAACAGCCACGACGCTGCTGCAACTGTCCACCATTTTATTTTTCCAGAATGCCCTGGAGGGGCCAAAAAGAATTGCTACCGTAGGAAGGATGCAACTGTCCATCTCGTCACCTAATTAATAACGGTCTGGTAGAATTGATAAAACCCATGTCGCTATTTAGATCTGTTTATTATATTTGGCACCCTCTTTAGGACAAGTGAAAATATGGTCCAGTGTCCCATGCAAATTGAAACAAATGCATGCCTCTGCGTTAACAGTAAAGCCAATTTACCAACAATGCAGTGCTTACAAGTGGACCTCTGTGAAGCTCTAAAGTTAAGTTTTTTGGGGAAAAAAAGATGATTTCAAATGGGTCGTCTGGTGAGATTTCACTAGTTTTGCCTGAACTTTCCAGATAAGTCTGCAACAGACTCCACAAGCTTTGAAATTTCACAAGTTCTTGGGGATGGGGGAGAATTGTTGAAATCTCTCTTGCAATGATGCTTGACAGGGTTTCTGATGCCTAAACTTAAGCAGAGGTTTCCGAATAACGTGAATAGAGTGTTGCTGTAAATTCATTTGGACGTTACTGGGGCTCAGAGAAGTGCAGCCAGCTCTCCAACGTGAAGCTGTAACTTTTTCTTCTCTCCAGATGAGTGTGGAATTGTGGCCCAGATCTCTGAGCCGTTGGCTGCCGCAGACGTCCCTGCCTATTACATCAGTACTTTTAAGTTTGATCACGCGCTGGTGAGTTCATTGAGTTCAATAATGTCTATGCTGTTCTTACTCAGTCCGTTGCCTTTCCGATGTGTTGAGTATCTCCAGACAGCTTTAGCCAACATGTCAGGAGAACCCCAAGGTGGAGGAAGCCTCTCTGCATGGAGCAGTAAGCAGCTGTCCATAGATTCAGAAATAATCTTACCTGGAGATGCTGGAATCGTGTTTTTTTCAACTAAGCCTCAGGCATTTCCTTAATCTTCCTTATAAGAAAGAACAAGATTCCGGAGGGCTCCAGAGTTCTTGTGTTGCTTATTTGTATGGGATCTCTTGGCTTTTCCACCGGAAGCTTCAAAACCTTTCAAATTTCCCTTGTCAGTAGGGATGACGATCCATTTTTGTACTGATTTGCCTTTTTTTTTAAAAAAATGTAAAACT